TGCCAGTCGCTGTCCTCTGCGGAGCTGACCCGCATCAGCTCCACGGCCGGCACCAGCACCTGCTCTTGCTCCTGGCCCTGTGGCCCAGAGGCCGTGGTGTGCGTCGGGAGCAGCCTTCGGGTGACCCCCTCCTGCCAGGAGCCCGCTGTCAGGTCCTGTAGGCAGGAGATAAAGGAGCCTTCTGCATTCCAGTCCCTCAGCCTGGGCACCGGAGAGGGACAGGGAGAGAGAGACAGAGAAAGAGAGGCAGTCAGCTTTGCCATGGAGTGCTGCACCCTGAGCACCAGCCTACCTCCGGCAGGCACACGGCGCAGCCTGCACCCCGCCAGGTGCTGGGCTCCCCGCCTCTTGGCGCTGCCGGGCACCCGGCACAAGCAGCATAAAAAGCAGATGCATAAAGGGCACCGGCCTTCTCCCTGCCACGCTCCCTGCCCACCCCACGGCCTGGCTGCAAGGGTCTAAGGCAACGCTGCGGAGCATCGCTGGGCTCTGCCAGGGACCTCACGGGACTGGTGCCACTGGGAATGCGGGAGGATGCAGCCCAGGCTGAGATAGCTGTGGTAAGCACAACCTCCATGCAGGGCCTGGCCGTCTGCCTGGGGTCCCTCCCAGCTGCTCTGCAAGGAGCCCCTCCCTGCAAGATCTCCGGAGAGGTACAAGGCACTCAGCCCAAGGCACTGCTCTGTCTGCCAGGGATGCCCAGGCTCCAGAGCTGCAGCCCAGCAGAGAAGCAAAGCAAAGCTGGGAGATGATCGCAGCTGTCCCAGCACAGGGCAATAGCTGGCAAAGCAGTTCTGCTTCCCTCCCACATCCACACCAGCACCCCAGGCTGCAGTACCTGTCTGCGCTCTTCTCCATGACGTGGCTAACAGTAGGTGATGCTGTGATCCTGGCTTGCACCTTCTGCTGAACTGAAACAAAAGAGACTTCACTCTCCAGGTCCTGCTCCCCGGTCCCCGGCTGGTGATCACCGGCTGGCATCTTCCCCTCTGGTCTCTGCCCCTCCTCCTGCTCTAGAAGGTCAATCAGGCCATTCATGGCATCTGAGTCCACTGTGTCATCCTCAACCAGGTCCATAGAGCCCATGTGGTCTGGGCCATGTGCGTCTGCTAGAAGCTGCCCCGGGAACCGGCCTTCGCTTGTGGCATCCGAGTCCTCAGCCTTGCTGCACTCCAGAGAGGAGTCCTCAGCAGTCACCAGCGAGGGGGTGAGTCCCGAGGACCACACCTGCATGTCGGACATCTCCATCAGGGCGTCCTGCTCAGTGGCAGCCATGGGGATAGCATCCATGATGGCCACCTCATTCCAGTACTGGTCGGCACGCAGCGGGGATGGCAGCGTGTAATGCAGGGAGGCGGGGGACAGCAGCTCGTCCTGCAGCGAAGCGTAACCTATATGGGCAGACAGAGGCAACATCTCCAGCAGCTGTTTCACGCACAAGCACAGCGGGGCAAGAAGGGAAACAGCTTCCAGGGGGGTGCCTGCCCCAAGGACAGCAGTGTCATGCCACCGATGCCAGTGTCCGGACTGAGCAGGGCTGTGCTCACAGCAGCTCCTGCCCATGCAAGTGCCACTGTGCCGCCCTTCGAGTCCTCGGGCTGGTTTGGGCAGACCCTAGGGCTGCTCGCTCCCTGGGGTCCACACAATGCCCCATCCACACTGCTGGACACAGTGTCCTCTTTGCTACCCTGCGCCATCAGCTCCCGCATCCCTGCCCACAGCCCCCCATCCAGCATCAGCTGGCTGACACTCAGCCTGGAATTCAGGTGGCCAAGTCTGGCAGGCACCAACTCCCATAGCCAACCCCTCTCTGCAGCACAGAGGGGCAGGCTGGAAGGAGTTCCGTGGGCAGGGAAGGATGGCCCTGGTACATGTCATGCAAGCCCGAGGCTCTGCGGGATGCAGCCAGGGCTCTACAACCCTCAGTGCCTCCGGGGCTACAAGCAGTTGCCACGTCCTCATCACCCAGGGCCACGTGCACAGCCCAGGCACACCGATACAGACAGCCAAGCCAGGCACTCCAACACATGCAGGTGGCTTTGCTCAGCCTTTTTCAGCTCGGAGTGTCTAGCCCCTTTTCCACCCCCAGAGTTTGGCAGAGAACCCGTTCTCTGCTCCCCACAGCTGAGGCAAGGGGGACAGCTGGGACCCCCAGCGCAGAAAAGGCACTTCCCCCTGTGTGGGCTGGGGGCAAGCAGGGCAGGGCCAGCAAGTGGAGGAGCGCAGGGCAGTGCAGAAGGCTGCCAAGGTGGCCACCCAAAAGCACGACAGCCATAAGAGGGGCAGTCCCTGGTGCCATGCAGTTGCTGGAGCAGGACACAGCTCCCAAAGGGCTCAGCTGAGGTGGAAACAGTGGAGACAGGCATTGGAGGAAGGTGAGAGGAGAGGCCAGGATGAGCTCAGAGGAGAGAGGTGACAAGAAGTGACCCGCACCTGATGGCGCTGGGTGGCATGTTTGAGAGAGCAGAACAAGGGGAGAGACAGAGGGAGAGAGCCATGAGCCAGTGCTGCACGGGTAGTGCCACAATGCAGCGCTGCAGCCACACAAAGCCCTGTCCCTGCCCGGGACATCGGCTCCACGATGGCACACGCTGCAGCTGACCCCGGCTGTGTCTCCGCACCCCGTCACGCTCTGCCTGGGACCCAACCCGGACCACCACAGCCGGACAGCCAGGATCCTGTGAGCTCCCTGGGTGCCTCTCACTGGCATGGCAGGATAAGGAGCATGTGTCCCCCCTGCAGTATGGCAGGGCCAAGCTTTCTGCAGCATAAGCTCCAGTGAAGAGGCTGTGTCTGTTGACAATGTCTTGTGCCCGCTGAGCTCCCAGCGTGCCCCCGGCACACCCCAGTCAGGTGAGATGTCAGCCCCAAAGTGTCTGCACAGGCTCTGCCCCCAGGGCCCCCCTGCAGCCCCTGCCAGAAGCCAGGACTCACCATTCATCTGGGATGGAGAGAGGGAGTAGTCTCTGTCCGTGTAGCGCCAGCTGCCCTTCAGGCTGCGGCTCTGCCGGCCCGAGCCCTCCAGCGCGTGGACAATCTCACTGCGGTCGATGTTCCTCAGCGCCGTGTAGAGATTCTCGACTGCAGGGGGAAGCCAGTGTCAGCAAGCTGGTCCCTGGAGGGACGCAGCCATGCCCCAGGCACCTTCCAGGTGGGTAGGTGTGCGTTAACCAGCCGTGTGGAGTCAGCCAGGGACCCCCAGCATGCACACACTGCTCTGTGCAGCCAGCCCTGCTGCCTCCATGCCAGTAGCAGGGCTCTGCAGATACTCACTCTTGACACCCTTGCCCTCACGGCTGACCCAGAGGTTGAGTAAGGCTATGCTCTGCTCCAACAGGGAGTTGGGGTTCTCCACGCGTATCCGGTTGATGTCATCCACCCCAAACTGTAGCTCACGTGCTAGCTCTGCGGGAGACACCACATCTCAGCATCACACCCTCTGGCACCCACCGCCAGCTCCCGAGCCGAAAAGGCTCATGATGTTGTGAAGAGCTCAGCCAGACGCAACGCAGAGCCCCCCATGTCACATACAGACGAATACGGCACAACAGGCAGGAGCAGGAGCTGGGACAGGGCAGAGGTTAAGCCCCTCTGCCCAGGCCAGCTGTGATCAGCGTAGCAGCGTCTCATGCTAAAGAGAAGCGTGGTTATTGCCCGCTGGGCGTGTGGCTGCAACGGCAGTGCTGTGCCTCCACGAACAGCAGCAACACATGCAACTCAGAACCAAACCTCAGTCTGGTGTCTGTGTGTGTGAACGCATGCACTGCTGCAAGTCATAGAGTCACAGGATGGTTTGGGTTGGAAGGGACCTTAAAGCCCCCCTAGTCCCACCCCCTGCCATGGGCAGGGACACCTTCCACCAGACCAGGTTGCTCCAAGCCTCATCCAGCCTGGCCTTGGACACTCCCAGGGATGGGGCATCCACCCTCTGCAAGAAGGTTTCAGTGCTCACAGCTCAGCAGAAGTGCTGGGAGGCCAGGCCAGCCTAATGCTGACCACATGCACGCCAACTGCATCAGGGCCCAGCTCCCTGGACAGTGCAGAGCAT